TCCTGTCGGCGGCCCGCCGTTCTGCATCCTCCTCGCGCTGCCGCTGCTGGCGGTCCCCTACCTGGCCGACCTCGCCGCCGCGCCCCCCGGCCCCGTCGTGGAGGGGCCGGCGGACGGCGGCGGCGCCGCGGTCGTGTCGCTGCGCGGCGCCGGCGCCGCCACGACCGCCGCCGCCGCGGGCGACGACTGCCTGGAGGCCGAGGGGGTGCTGCTGAGCAGCAGCAGCAGCAGCTGGGGCCAGGTCGGGGGAGGGAAAGGCCCCCTGCTTCACGCAGTTATCGGCGCAGGCCTCGGTGCAGCCCGCCGTGGGCCTGGCCCCGGGAGCGGTCTCGAACGAGGAGCTGCCGCCGCCGCCGCCTTCGTCGGCGTCGACGTGGTGGTGGTGGTGGTGGTGGTCGTCGACGAGATCGTCGTCGTCGTCGTCGGCGTCGTCGTCGTCGGCGTCGTCGTCGTCGTCGTCGTCGGCGTCGTCGGCGTCGTCGTCGAGATCGTCGTCGAGATCGTCGTCGAGATCGTCGCCAGTCGCCCCGAGCGGTGCCGCCTGCTCGGCGGCGGCGCGCCGCTCTCCCCACGAACACGGGGGGCCAGCTCCGGCGGTTCGCGGGGCGCTGGTCCCGTGGATGCTGCCCGTCCTCGAGCGCTCGTCGCCACAGCCTCGGCGGCGAGCGACGGGGGGGGGCCGTGAGCAGGAAGGGGCCTGCTCGGAAGGCCGGCTGGCCTTCTCAGAAGGCCTCGCGCCCTCGCGGAAGAAGCCTCCGGTGTCCTTCGGGGAAGGCTTAAGTCGGGCTTGTCCCTCTACAGAAGGGAAGCTCAAAAATAGCAAAAAAATAGTCAGGAGAGTATTTTTGGAGCACTTTTTGACTATTTTGGAGTATTTTCCTAGTATCTTTACTTTCCGTCGAAAATCCCCCTGCAGGGGGACACGCCCGACTGAAGGGAAGGCCCGGAGAACTTCTCAGTAGGCGGGGGGGCTTTCGAGCCTTCTGAGCAGGCCCGCCCCTGCTCGGACGCCTGGTGGTTTTTCGGTCACACCTCGGCTCTCTAGTGGCCCTTCGAGGCGATCCAGGCACCCCCGGAAATCCCTCGGCGAGGCGCAGCCGCGGGAGCGCATCCCGAGGCTGGAACACCGCGGAGGACCGACGACGACGCCCGAGAACCTCGAACCCCGAACCCGAGACTCTTGAGGCTTCCCCCCCCGGGGCGCGCCGCCCAACAGCGCTGGCCAGGGCTCGCTCTGGGAGAGCTCCGTGGCGCAGTGGCTTCGGTATCTCTTCCTTCTCCCGCCAGGGGCCGGCGGGCGCGGCGGAAGGCTGGCGGGCGGCGCGCGACCAGGAGCGCCGAGGGGCAGACCTGTCCACAACCGCCGCCTGGGGGATGGATCTTCGCGAGCCTCCACGGGCGGTGGATGTGGATGCATTCGGCCCCCGGGGGCCAGACTATGTCCATGTCCGCCGCCCGCGGGGGCACCGGGACCGCGGTTTCCAGGCGGTGGATGTTCGGCGCCACCCCAGCATACTCATGCAGTCGGGGCACTGAGGAAGGACGCCTTTTCGTTGGGGAGGGGCTCGGTGTTCCTCAGTTGTTTTGCAGTTCGCCTTTGGTTTTGCATAGGGTTTCGATGGGAAATCGAAGTTTAACTTATGGGAGAAAGGGGCCTCGTTCCTTATGTAGGGTTCCTTAGGTCAACGCCCGACTGTACTTCATGTGCGTCGCCCCCCCAGGGGCGACGCGCGCACCGAGAAATCTGATAGCATATGCGTCGTGGCGGGCGCTTTCTGGCCACACCGCTCGGGGAACGATATACTACAAGGTGGGTAAACCATATGTTCGGGTCGGACACGTGCCTCCACGGAGGACATATAGTGCTAGTATGTCTCTGTGCGTCCCAGATGTGGCTGCACCCCCGCCGCGCAAGGAGGGCGAGTGGCTGCAAGCCGACCTGGGTGTCCCGCGCCGGGTCTGCGGGGCCTACGTGCAGGGCCTTGAGGACTGCTGGGTCGCCAGGTTCTCTCTGCAGCTGTCCGCGGACGCCCTGGCTTGGACGCCGGCGCCCTCGGGAGGTGCCGTCGCCGGGCCCGGGGGCGCGGCGGATCTCGGGGGCAACGATGGGGGGGGGTAGGCAGAGGGGGGTATGCATCGACCCCCAATCGCCCATTGATCGCCGAAAGGAGCCCGATAGCCGCAACCTGCCTAGGAAGGTGCGGATTCTCTGTCGGGGCCTATCGCCGATCTATCGGCGATATATCGCCGATTCCAGGTCGATGCACCCCCCCATGTGCCAGTCTCCCCCCCCTAGCGTTGCCCCTCAGGAGCGGTCGGAGGTGCTGCTGCATCCAGGCGCGCAGGAGGCGCGGTACGTGAGGTTCACGGCCGAGGCGTGGGAAAACCACGTGTGCATGCGCGTGGGAGTGATGGTTCAGCCCGCGGCGGCGCCGGAAGAAAATGCACGGACGAAGAGCCCAAGCGCACGCAGTTGCAAGCACGGCAAAGCAGGTGACAGACACAACGGAGGGGGACGAGCACACTTCGAGCAGCGTGGTAGATTGCCCTCTCATCATAGGCAGTGCGCCACAACGTACATGGAACTCCAGGCAGTGAACAAGAGGCTCTGGCGGGGCGAATAAATGCAATCAGCGTACTTGTTTCTCGAGGCTGGGCATTGGAAGGCGCAGAGGTTATGTCTGCGGACCTTGTAATACGGGGGGGGGTAAGCGTGTGGTGGGTGTGCCGAAGTGGAGCCAAGGCTGCCACGCGACCGCTACCACTGCGGCCTTCGATGGAGCTCTCTATGGGGCCACGCAGCGTGTGACGGGTGTGCCGAAATGGACCCGAGGCCGCCATTCGACAGTTGTCACACGGGGCCGTCGACGGAGCTGCCGAAACGTGGGAAGGGGGGTATCGCCGGAAGGGGCATGCGGAGGGGGGAGGCGGGGATTGGAGGGGAGCAAGGGAGGAGGAGGCAGCGGGAGGAGTGGGACGCGCGGCTCTTTGGATTCAAAGCGAAGACTCAGCACCACAGGATGGTCGAAAGACACCTCCTCCTCTGGCTGCTCGGGCCAGGCTGGCCCTCTCTCGGGGCCCGAGCTGTGGCCCATGGTGCGTTGGAGCTGGCAGAGTCACTCTCCTCTTGAAGCCAGACATCCTTCGGCTGCAGGAGGAATCGTGGCTCACGGTTGCGCGCTCTTGCAGGCAGTGGGGAGTTGGGGATTCACTGAGGCAAAGCACATGTTGGCGCCTTGGCGGCAAAGGCGTGCGTCTCGTATCGCATCCCCCTCCCCAGGTCTTTGTGATCCAGCACGGCTTCCTCTCAGAAGACGCCCCCAGCTGGAGCCCGCGTGGCACGCTCCTGCTCTCCAGCACGGAGGGGTCCGTGGAGGCCCGCTTGAGCGACGCGAAGGCGCCTGGGAGCGAGGGGGAGCGAGGGAGGCTTCTGCCACTGCTTCTCCTCCCCCTCCCCCTCCTCCCCCTGCCCCTCCTCCCCCTTCCCCTCCCCCTTACCCTTCTCCTCCTCCTCCTCCTCCTCGTCCTCCTCGTCCTGCTCGTCCTCCTTCTCCTCCTCCTTTTCCTCCTCCTCCCGTAGCCATTTTGGCTCAAGGGTAGGGTAACATCCATTCCTTAATTTCTAACCTCTCTCGATCAGCAACAGGTGCATGCGCGGCGCGCCCCCCTTCGGTCTCCTGGGCTTGACAGTTTTGTTGGTGAAGGCTCTTCGCCACTTCTCGCAGTCATGGCGGACCAGCGCGCCTCCTATCAGTGCAGCCAGTGCCCAGGGTTAGTTTGGGCTAGTCGGCGTTCGCATTTCTGCGGGGACTGGGGCCGGGCGTCGCGCAGAGAGGCAGCACGGGATCAAGACCAAGGAACCACAGAAACCAAGACCAGAGAATCGAGAAACCACTATCAATGATTTCAGGAACCAGGACCATGGAACCAAGGAGTCAAGCCAAATTAACCAAGACCAAGGAACCAAGGGACCGAAGAACCGAGGAGCGAAGGCCAATGAACCAACGAACCAGGACCAGGGAGCCTGGGTAAAGCCTTGGAAGGAACCAAGACCGAGGAACCCCAGGGAACGCCCTTGTCAAGAAGCGAGGCCAAGCAAGGAACCCGGGGAACCCCCGCGCCACCGACCCCAACGCCCTCCGTTTCTGCAACGGCGAGTAAGACTCTTGAGGCCAACGCCCAACCTGGTAGATACGTGGTGCCGGCGGATCAAAGCTGTGACGCCGCCATGGGAGGAAGGAGGGCGGAAGCGGCAAGAGCCTGTTTCTCGGGCTGCTGCTTCCGAGGTTCTGGGTGCGAGGCCGACATTTTTCGAACGGCAGCTCGGCCCCACCTTTCTCAACTGCCGGGTAGCTCGCAGGGTGGAGCTCCCACCAGGTAGCTCGCAGGTTTGATCGCAACGGGTACCTCGAGCTCCATAGCAGGCGTCAGGGGAGCGCTTTGCGCAGTGCAGAGTGGCTGCGGAGGGGGGGGAGAAGGGAGGGTCCAGGGGGGAGGGGGAGAAGGGAGGGTCCAAAGGGTGGGGGGAGAAGAAGAAGAGTGGCTGTGGGGGGGGGGAAAGTGGAGGGTCCAGGGGAGGGGCCTTGAGACATGGGGCGAGGGAGGACGAGGCAAGATCTCTTCAGATGAGAACCATCTTCCCAGGATGAGAGAGAACCTTTCCCAGACGAGTCGACCTATTTTCAAACAGCTGCTCTGCAATGGTGAAGCCCCCTTCCCATCAGTTGGGAAGCCGGCAGTTTTCACCTTCGTCGTTGGAGCATTGGAGAGGAACAACCAGGACAAGGAGGGGAGGGGCACCGCCAGTCGAGACGGCCCGAGACGGCGCGTGAGACACGGCCCCCGCTCAGATCGGCAACCATCAGAACGAAAGAGAGCGAACAAGGCTGTGCCGCCGCTCCCGCCTCCCTCCCCGCCTCCTCTACCCCTCCCCGCTTCGAATCGGCGCTCCCCTCCGGCTCCCCTCCCTCCCCTTTCCCCCCACCCCCTCCTGGTGGCTCGCACGCTCCTGTGGCTGGCTGGTCGAATGGGGGGGTGTGCTGGGGAGGCGGGGGTGGAGGTGTATGGGTCTGGCGGGAGAGAGTGCGTGGGTGGGAGAAGGCGGAAGAGGCGCCAGAGGATGATATGCTGCCGCTGATGATGTTGTTGGTGATGATGATGGTGTTGTTGATGGTGACGGCGCCGACGATGACGATGACGATGTCGACGACGCTGCTGGTGATGAGGATGACGATGATCGCGCGGATGATGCTGCTGATGATGATGGTAATGGTGATGGTGATAAAGATAATGATGATGATGCTGCTGCTGATGATGATGTGGTGATGCTACTGATGATTCTGATGCTGGTGATGATGATGATGATGATGATGATGATGATGATGATGATGTTGATGACGGCGACGATGATCACGATGCTGCTGATGGTGATGGTGACGATCATCATGGCGACGCCGATGACAAGGATGATGATGGTGATGATGATGATGACAAGTACACTGCGAGGGCGATGCCGATGACGACGCTGATCATGATAATGCTGATGATGACGATGATGATGATGGCGATGACGATGATGGCGACGACGATGATGACGATGATGCTGATGCTGATGCTGATGATGATGCTGTTGATGCTTCTGACGATGATGCTGATGGCGATGATTATGATGATGATGATGACGACGCTGATGCGGGTGGTGATGTGTTGATGATGACTGTGATGCTGCTGATGGTGATGCTGTTGATGATGCTGACGCCCCTGGTGATGATGATGCTTATGGCGATGATGATGATGCTGATGATGAGGATGCTGAGAATGATGATGATGATGATGATGATGATGCCGGTGATGATGATTGTGATGGTGATGATAATGTTGATGCTGATGATGTTTATGCTGATGCTGCTGCTGCTGATGATGATGATGATACTAATGCAGATGCTGATGCTGCTGACGACGACAATGGTGATGCTGATGATAATGATGCTGATGATTATGATGATGCTGTTGCTGCTGCTGACGATGAGGATGATGCTGCTGATTCTGATGATGATGATGATGATGCTGATCATGATGCATATTATGATGCTGATGATGCTGATCATGATGATGATGATGATGATGATGCTGATGATGATGACGTTGTTGCTGACGATCGTGATTATCCATACGATGCTGACGATGATGCTGCTACTGCTGATGATCGTGATGTTGATGATGGCAATGCTTAGGTTAATGGTTATGTTCACGACGATGATGATCATGATTTGTATGATGATGCATATGTTGATGATGCTGTGGGTGATGCGTATGAATAGGAACAAGCAGAGACATCGGATACTGAGGAGGATGACGATGATGGAGATGGCGAATCTGATTACGACGATGATGATGATGATGATGATGATGATGATAATGATGATGATGTTGATGATGAGGATGAGGATGTTGATGATGTTGATGAGGATGGTGATGATAATGATGATGATGATGAGGATGAGGATGAGGATGATGATGTTGAGGACGATGCGGATGACGATGCTGATGATGCTGATGCTGTTGCTGCTGATGCTGATGCTGCTGATGATGCTGATGATGATGATGGTGATAATGCTGATATTGAGGAGGAGGGGGAGGAGGACGAGGAGGAGGAGTAGGAGGAGGATGATGATGATGAGGAGGCATAATAATAGGATATGGGGTATAATGATTTGTAGGCAGAGTAGGAGGAGGAGTAGGAGTAGGAGTCAAGCTAGCCAGCTCGAGCGAGTCAAGCATGGCATGCCCAGTCCCCCCGCCCTCCCACAACAAAAGAAGCAAAGCTGGCACAACTGGGGGCCGAAGTCACACCGGCCAGCCGGTTTGGTACAGCTGATGCGGCCGCGATGGCGGTTGCCGACGGGAACTGGCGAGCGCGTGTTGAGAATGCCGCGGTGCACGCATTTGCCATACTGTCGAGATGGCCGGGTACTACAGGCAGGAAGTCCAGAGGTGAGCCGGAGGAATCGACGGTCCTGACAGACACCGCCACATCATTTGTGAAAAAGCATTGGGTTTTTGAGGTTTTTATGTTGAAATGTTTGCAAACACACGGTGTTCGGTAGGATTCTGACATGAACGCGCGAGTGTGCTCTTTGTTGTATTTTTTGCTCAGGATTCGCGGCCTGGGTGCATGACAGAGCATCGCGAGTGCACCGCGCGATGACGTGAAATCGCTGGATTTGACAGAATTCTTAAGATTCCTATGGTTTTCCTTTGATTTCAGCAAGAGAGCCCAGGCGGGAAATTTGTACAATTTTTGTGAAAAAGCATTTTTGTTGTTTTTAAATGTTTTTATGTTGAAATGCTTGCAAACACACAGTGTTCGGTAGGATTCTGACATGAACGCGCGCGTGTGCTCTTTGTGGTATTTTTTGCAATGGATTATCGCAGTGGACGACAGGACGTCCATGTCGAGAGGAAAAAATAAGAAAAATGTTGATTTTGTATTGTTTTTTA